AAACACCAGCTATCAGCAAAACAACACGATGAACTTTCTCTGATATCAGTACACTCGGACAACGAAGGTCATCAATTTAACTGGGACGACTTGACCATCCTAGCTCAAGCCAACCATGGACATGCACAGGAATTCCTAGAGGTCTGGTTCTCCAGCCATAATGCAATCAGTAAACATATGGAATTAAACCCTATATACAATCCCTTGCAGAAAAGAACCAGAAATGACACAAAACACCTCAACAGACTGGAGCATATAAAAACTAAGAGGAGTAGAACAACATTGCTTCTTCAGAGTCTGCACTGATGATGACGAAACATCTGAACTATAACCAGCCAGGTCGGTGACCAAGTCAACAACCTGATTACTGGGATGGCAACACTGAAGTTTGAGGAGAAGGTGAAATGGTTAACTGGAAATTCACTGAAGTTCAGAAAAAGGAAGCAGGTTCTCATAGTAACCTATAAAATTCTAACAGAGCTAGACAGGGTAGATGCAGGTAGGATGTTCCCAATGGTAGCAGAGTGTGGAACCAGGGGTCACAGTTTAAGAATACAGAGTAGGCCATTTAAGACAGAGATGAGGAAAAATTTCTTCACCCAGAGATATTTGATTTTTAATTGTCACATGCATCTAGGTACAGTGAAAAGTTTTGTTTTGTGTGCAGTACAGGCAGATCATATCATACAAGTGCATTAGGGTAATAGAGCTGAGCAAAGAATACAATGTTACAGCTTCAGAGAAGGTACACAGAGGGCGAGGTCAATGTTAAATTTGTAATTTGAGAGGCCCATTCAGAAGTTTATTAACAGCAGGGAAAAATATGTTCCTGTACCTGTTGGTACTTTTCTGCCCGATGGAAGAGGTTGGAAGGCAGTATAACCAGGGTGGGAGGGGTCTTTGATTATGTTGGCTGCCTTCCCGAGGCAGCAGGAAATATAGATGGAGTCAATGGATGGAAGGTTGGTGTGCGTGATGGCCTGGGCTGTGTTCACAACTCTCTGTAATTACCTATGGTCCTGGGCTGAGCAGTTGCCATACCAAGGCGTGATGCATCCAGATAGAATGCTTTCTCTGGTGAGCGTGGAATTCTCTGCCATAGGACATGGTTGAGGCTAAAACATTGAATGCTTTCAGAAAGATGTTGGATACAGCACTTGGGATGACAGGGATCAAAAGATATGGGGGAAAAGGAGGAACAAACTATTGAGTTGGATGATCAGCCATGATCATATTGACTGGGGGAGCAGGCTCAAAGGGCTGAATGGTCGACTATTATTCAATATTTGGCAACAGTGGGTGATTATGTCGCTGGATGAGTAATTCAGAGGCTGGGGTTAATGTTCTGGGGAAATCAGTTCAATTCCCATGACAATAGTTGGTGGAATTTAAATTCCATGAGTAATTCTGGAACTGAAAGCTCATCCCAGTAGCAATAACCATGAAACCATCATTGATTATTTGTAAGCACTCATCTGATTCACTCATGGCCTTCAGGGAGGAAAATCTGCTGCCCTTACCCAGTTATGCTTATATATGACTCCAGACCAGAGCAATGTGATTGACTCTGAAATATTCCCTGATGTTCAGCAAGTCACTGAGTTCAATGGCCACAAATGTTGGCCTTTTCTAGGATGTAAGTGTCACTGAAAAGATTAACTTATATCCTATGCCCAACATTAATTATCCTTAACTGATATCGACAGTCAAACAGTAGGGACAAAGCTCACATAGTGTTGAACTATCAATATGTCCTGGCCTGGGATCTCTCTAAATCCCAAATTCCGTCTTCCCCAGCCTGAGTTCTCACCCCTTAACCAAACCACCAGCACCTTCCCATTCAGGCCATGATTACAATTGTCATTCAGAATATAAAGAATGCTCCCACTGGATTTGTGCAGGTCTATCCACCTGTTTAGGAGAACAGCTTAAAACTCCAGGTAGCATTAGGTAAGTTGGGGCATTTAATGGCTCCCCAGCTCCGATCCTACCTGTCTTAAAACTACCTCCAGATAAAACTGCTCAGCAGCTTTTGTGACAACAAGGTGCAGGGCTGGATGAACACAGCAGGCCGAGCAGCAGAGAGGCTGATTTTGTTCTGAGTATGAACTTTGCTCTTTATCTGGTAAACTGTCGAAGCCAAGGAGTCTGACTCACCCTGGAGTCTAGCCCAGTCTGTCTGATTAACAATGCAATGTTTCCAGAACATTGTGAATTTAGTGAGGAATGTTGTGGTCTGCCTTAGAGCTAAGTACTAATGTCAATGGAATCCAAGTGGGGAGGATACACACTGTTCCCCATCAGCTTGAAGCTCACTGGTTTTCCATTAACCATCTCCATCTGGAAAGAACACAGGCTACTGTCTGTCAGAGCTGAGGGTTGGTGACAATAGTATATGAGCACTCCCATCATCACAACCGTTAACATCACTGACTGATACCTCAGTATTAACAGTTGTCTCAAGCGGGGGTAATGATTGGTCAAGAGGGCAAATGGAAGTCTAAAGACTCATTCTCGACAACCTGAGGCTGACATGTGGTGGATTGAATGGTTCTCCAGGAGATAACACCAATATCGGAGTTGAAGGAGCAAAGGCTCAGGGTGTGATGGACAGTGACAAAAATGGAACACCATGATTGACTTCTTGAGAACAAAGGTTTCAAAAGTTAACAGCCAAGAGAAAAAGGATGTCATGGCAGATGTTTGTTCAGAGAGATGTGAGACAGCCATTTTTCCTAACTGCTCTCTGTTCGGAACTAGAGGCTTTACTCCAACTTAAGGCATCTCCTCAAGGGGAATGGCCTTTCCAATTGGTCTGTGAAGCCATTCTTTGCCATCATTGGCTGGTTCCCATCATTGGGAACTTTGTGATTCTGGTGGGCCAGGGGAGAATAATTGGAGAGCGATTAGTAAAACAGTTAATGAGTTAGCAAGGGGGATATTTTTCCAGAAGTGACTAGTGCATGGAAGGAAGGATTGGAGGGGTCAGGTGCCTCTGGAGAGGGTTACTGATTTGGAGGGAATGTGTGTTTGAGGTGGGGAAGATTGAAGTGGGTTGGGATGTGTTTGGAGTGAGGGGTACAAGTTAGTCAGGGAAAGAGGGGGTAGAGTGAGGGGTAAGGGATTGGACAGGGACCTGTTAAAATCAGAGAGGTGGGGAGTAAATGGGATCAGAGTAGAAGGTGCAAGACAAGGACAGAGAAATCAGGGGAGCGGAGAAGGGTTTAGGTTGAGGTTTAGGGCACACAAGGTGATGGGCTGCTTGAAGTGACGAGGGAGAAAGATTGCCATGAGAAAATCATTGTGGTGGAGGTGAGGTTTTAGTGGGCATGGGACAAGTGTTAGGGAGAATTGGTGAGAGAGATGGAATGGAAGTGAATGTCTTGACTGGGGTTAGGGGTGAGGAGGAGATTGAAGTATAGCCGTGAGGGCAGACAAGCAAGAGGCTTATTGGTTGCAGTGAGGCATCACCACTGAGACTCAGGTGTTAGTCAGGGGAAGGGCCAGAGGTTAGTTTCAGCTAGTTCACTTTTAACAGCAACAACTTGCATTGACATAGTTCCTTAAGCATGGGAAAATGTGACCAGTTGCTACACAGTGGCATTGCCAGGAGAAATCTGACATTAAGCTCCTCGTCTGTTTTCTTCTATCTTCAACCAATGATCAACACAGTCCATTTCAGCTGCTGCCTCATGACATAAATCACCATCGCTGGTGAATAAGGTGCCAATCCCTGAGGGTTTTTTATCACAAGTGTCACACATGAAACAATCGCGTGACACTGGTGCTTGCAGTTCCGGTGTTGGCATTTATTGCCAAGCCACAGTTGGCACTGATCATCCTGGTGACCAATGCTAGACCACAGGAGGTGTTGCCATTCACCAGGGCAGTGTCAAAGAGTCACGGAGCTGTACAGCACAGAAGGAGACCCTTAGGTCCAACTCTTCCATCCCGACCAGATATCCTAAATTAATTTAGTCCCGTTTGCCAGCATTTGGCCCATATCTCTCTAAACTCTTCCTATTCATATACCCATCCATCTGCCTTTTAAATGTTGTAATTGTACCAGTCTCCACTACTTCCTATACATGCACCACCCTCTGCATGAAAAAGTTGCCCTTTAGGTCTCTTTTAAAACTTTCCCCTCTCACCTTAAACCTACGCCTTCTAATTTTGGACTCCCTTATGCTGGGAAAAAGTCTTTGGCTATTTGCCATATCTATGTCCCTCATGATTTTATAAACCTCTATAAGTTTACCTCTCAGTGTATGACACTCCAGGGAAAACAGTCAGGCCTATTCATCGTTCCCCTATAGCTCAAACTCTCTAACCCTGGAAAAATCCTTGTAAATCTTTTCTGAACCCTTTCAAGTTTAACAACAGGGAGACCAGAACTGAATGCAATATTCCAAAAGTGGCCTAAGCAATGTTCTGTAGAGCTTCAACATGACCTCCCAACTCCTATACTCAATGCACTGACAATGAAGGCAAGTGCCTCCCAGGTATGGTGATCAGTGGTTTTATGTCACACTTGGAGATATGAATTCTGGTGATTTAAAACCTGGTCAAAACTATAAGCCTAAAGGAATACCAAAAAGGAGGAAGGAGAGAGTTAGGGAAAGTTAGAGATGGAATGCCAGAACTTGGGGCCCAGACAGATGAAGACACAGGCATCACGGGGATCGATTAACATCAGGAAAGAGCTGAAGACCGATAGCTTCTCTGACAGCTGGAGAATAGTACAGGGAGGGAGAGATGAAGTAATGGAGAGATTTGAACATGGGGATGAGAATTTTAACATTGAGGGACTGTGGGACTGGGAAACAATATATATCTGCAAAGAGTCACCTTACTCTAAAGTGAACACACAGTAGTATCACAATCCCAGCTACCCCCCAACCCCTCACATACTGTTTCTGGTGTCACTGTCACTTTAAGAATCATCACTGAAGCCAGTATTTAGTCCCACGCCCTGTCTGCAGCAAGGTTTCATTAACATCTTACAGATGTGGAGATTGAACTATGCAACTGCCAGTGAATAATAATTAGCAGAAGAGGAACCCAGGAGAACTCAGCATCAAAGAAAGGGCGTTGGAAAGTCAGTATTTCAAACTCTCACTGCCTCTCCATCTCCATTAGACAGTATAAAGGGAAACTGTAAACAGCTAATACTTCACTCACCCAGGAAAACAGTGAGAGTTTCTGACAGAGAAACTGCAACCATCTGAGAAGGCAGTTTCTCTATTAACAACGGCATTTCTTCCAGGTAACATTCCTGCTCATTAAATGAGCTGTGCCCGAGTGTGGGGTCTACATTCTATCTGTGTATCTGATGATGTTTGCATTTGTGTATGTGTGAATCTGACTGTGTGTATTTCTGACTGTATGTGCGTTATGTGTGTATATATCTGACTGAGTGAGTGTTATGTGTGTGTATCTGTGTGAGTATTATGTGTGTGTATTTCTGACTGTGTTACATGTGTATGTTTGTCTGTGTGAGTGTTATGTGTGTGTATATCTGTTGGGTGTGTGTGTCAGTGGTTTGTTGCTCGAGGTAAATTCAGAAAATTAAAAGTTCTTTTCAAACTGCAATCTTGAGTCAGCGATTGCCACAGCTTCTTGTCAATGGCCTGTGTGTCTCAGTGCCCTGTTATACACAGCCATTGAAAAGAATTGATTCACTGCCTGGTGAATGTGTGTGTGTGTGTCAGTTTCAGGTCCTGTACCTGTACACAGCAGTAAAGGGGAACATTGAAACTCACAGGGACTGTGAGCTCCAGCGGGAGTCTATGAGCTCCAGTTGCAAGGCTGTGAGCTCCAGTGGGAGGTCAGCCAGGAACCGTAGAAGAGTGTTTCGTCCTGGAGGGAACAAAGGCATGGAATTTGGATTGGCTGAGATGTTGGTGATTAAAAGCAAGGTTATGGAAATTCTAACCGATCTTGTCCTTAGGTTACCATGAGGTTCCTGTGGATCTTACACTGTGTCTTGGGAGTCTACACGATGGAGGCTGGAGAAGATTATACCTCAGAGACTGATGTTCTGGATTCCCTCTTACCCCTGCTTTTGAACAACACATTCATGGCTGAGAGTGCAGCTGGATTGGGAGTGATGGAGCTCTCGAGCGTGTGTGAGATCACAGTGCTGACTAGTTCCTTAACCAGCCCCGGAGAGCAGGAAGCAGTGAGCCCTGTAACTCAGGAAGACCTCAACCTTGTCAAGAATCTCTTGAATGGCAGCAGTTCTGTACTGGAGAGCTTGGCATCTGCAGTTAACAAAGAGATTGGGAAAGTAAGCTACCAATCACTGATCACAACCACAGTCCAGGACATTAAACAACAGAATGAGCTATCCAATAACATCATGACAGAGATCTTCCAAGCCCTTGACTCAGAACCAACAGCAGATAACCATGTGAAACAGTAAGTATTGAGCTATGTATGTAGAGATTTGGAAAAATTTGGCCTTTGCCACTGAAATGTTATATGTACAAACATTACGAGTTGGGAATGGGCTGGAACAGATTGCCTCGGATCTGCTCCAATATGTAATAAGATCACAGCTGATCTGACTGTGGGCTTAACTCCAACAAATACAAAGGGGAAGGGCACCAGAAATGTGTAATAGAAACCTTCAAATTGAAGCAGACTAATGCAGATGCTGGATATAAGCACATTATAAGCTGTAACACTGAAAAATAAGTCATATCCGACTTGAAACATTACCAGTTTCTCTCTCCATAGATGCTGCCAGACCCACTAAGTTTCTCCAGCCATTTCTGTGTTTGTTTAGAATCAGAAGCATTTCTTTCCATGGCACGTAGTAACTCATTAAATACCCACTGACAAGGGACAGCACAAGGTAGAGCTGCCTCGATACTGTCCCCATACAGCACAGGGTTAGATACAGAATAAAACTCCTTTTACAGTCTTCCCATCAAACATTCCCAGGAGGGAGACAGCACTGGATTAGATGCAGAGTGAAGGTCTCTCTACACTGTCCCTCATCAAACACTCCCAGGATAGGGACAGCACAGGATTAGACACAGGGTAAAGCTCCTTCTACACTGTCCCCATCAAACACTCCCAGGACAGGAACAGCACGGGTTGAGATACATTTTGAAGCTGTCTCTACACTGTTCCCTATCAAACATTTCCAGGACAGGGACAGCAATTGTTAGATACAAGCTCTCTCTACAATGCCCCCATCAAACATTCCCAGGACAGGGAGAGCACGGGGTTAGGTACAGAGTAAATTTCCTTCTGCTCATTACTATGCATGATGTATATACTTCCTTGAGCTGGCTTTTTACAGTAGCAGTGTTGGTGGCTGTTGACAGGTTGTTTTCAGGTTGATCCTCTATCAGTATTGTCCTCTCCTTTGTTAGGTTCAAGGAGAATGTTTGGAAGATGGAAACGATGCTGCAGACTATCGATCTCCTTGCCAGCCAGGTTGAGGACCTGTCAGACACTCTCTCCACAAAACTAAACCACCACGTGGGCAAGTCTCATACCGTGGAGTCTATCCAATACAAGAACTGAGAGGAGGCTGGTTACCCTGTGTATTAAACACCATGTCCCACCATCAATTAGCTCACATTTCAGATTTTAACATCTTTTCTTGACAAGATTCCAGCATTTGCAGAAAGGGTCAAACAATGAGCTAAAGACACCAGTCCCTGTTTCCTGCGTGGCAATGCTCTATAGTCTGACAAATCATTTTTACTCACTCGCTTCTGATCTAAGTTCTGTTCTTTGTTCTGTTCAAATCTATTTACTGTCTACCTTGCATTGTGGTTCAATGCATTGCCAGCGCATCAACAGCTGTGTGCACCCATTTTATGTTTCCCAGTGTTGCCATATGTAGGGTCATGTTTCCAAACAGGCCGCTAATGATATTAAAAATTGCTTACTATTCACTTCTGTAAATGGCTGCCTTGCTGCATATGTTCAAACTCACGAAGTTGTAACATTTTAATAAATGTTAAGAAATGATGTGTTCTGTGAAGGGCTCACCTGGTAATAACCCCCTCACTGGGATTCTCCAGTGTTTCAAAAGTCGAGTGATCCCTCAGTTCTCATAGTGCTGCTCTGGGCAGGTTCCAAAGGAAGGACTTTGGACAAGGAAGTCTTTGATCTTTATTCAATACCACACCATTGAGGCCTCATAAAGATCAAGACCCCCATATTCCAAGTGCAGTTGATCCAGAATTTCTCCAAATGTTGAAACTTGTATTAAAAGAAAACACATCCCAAATGATACAGTCATCACAGGAACACATAAATGTTTCAGAGCAGAGGCTGAGTGAATGAAGTACATTTAAACTTTTACAAAGATCTGATAAACATACGTCAGAAAAATAAAGAACTTTTTAAATGCATTTTGGATAGTTTTTTTTAACAATGTGTCTCAGAACCAACGTATTAAATTTAATGATGAGATGAAGTTAGTTAAGAGTCTAAAAATGCATGAATGATTATTAACAATGATCATAATGAAGTCAAGTTCAATATAATGTTTGAAATGGAGAGAACCATGAAAGGGCTGCTAAGATTCTAGCTCACTTCTGTAGCCACTGTAATGAGGTCAGCCAGCTGGACCTCATAGAATATGGGTTCCCTGATTGGGGCTGTTACTCTGGTCCAATCACAGAGCTCTGGCTGACAGATAAGAACAGGAGTGTTAGACACCCTGTTCACTCTGAAAGCTGGCTCTGAGTGAGCTGGATCAGTGTCAAGAACTCTACATGTAAATAAAAGGTGACTTGGTGATGGGATACTGGCCTTTGGGGGGTTATTTCAACCATAACGTAATTTTTTTCTTTATTCGTTCACAGGATGAGGGGGTCTCTGGCTAGGCCAGTATTTATTGCCCATCCCTAATTGCCCAGAGGGCAGTTAAGAATCAACCACATAGCTGTGGGTCTGGAGTCACATGTAGGCCTGACCAGATAAGGATGGCAGTTTCCTTCCCTAAAGGACATTAGTGAACCAGATGGGCTTTTCTTGACAATCGACAATGGACTCATCACTAGATTCTTAATTCCAGATATTTATTGAATTCAAATTCCACCATCTGCCATGGCGGGATTTGAACCCAGGTCCCCAGAACATTACTCGAGTCTCTGGATTAACAGTTCAGCAAATTGCCTAGCAAATCAGTCAATGGAGAATGGACAGCAGGAGGTGTTGAAAAAGAACTTTATGGATGGAGAAGAAATTTATACCTCATAGGACAAGAGTTGTAAAGAAACAGTTATGATTAACGAATGTATTACGAGGCAACAGAAGAATAAAGGAAGCATTCAAATTTGTAACCGATGTAAATCCTGATGTAATGTAAATCCTGATGATTCAGAGGTTAACCAAAATCCTGAAGGCTGAAGAAGAATGTAAAAGTTACATTAGTAGTTGCCAAGAATTGTTCCATGAATACATGATTAATCCCTAGTAGTTCCCTCTCATTGGCATTGTACTAACCTCAGGCATATTGTGTTACAACCTTCAGCAAAAATTGGCAAAACAAATGGTACCATCCACAAAACATGGGAATTTTTAAAGACAATTGCAAAGGATATTAAAATCAACGCAAAAATTTTTAATGATTATGTTAGAGTAGAAGAGATTGGAGCCTTGGCTTGAAACTGATTACAAATAGAAATGTGTAATTGGCAATCAGGCTGAATAAGCGTTTTGTGCCAGAGTTTGCAGGAGATTAGCAGGGCAGATATCCCCACTACTGAATCAAGGATAGAGACTAATGAAAATGAACAAAAGCAAAAATATAGGTATGAAGAAAATAATGGTCCTAAAATGAGAACAAATCCCCAGAACAAGATGATTTCTATCCAGAGTTTAAAGGATGCGAACATTGCAGGAACCCTAACAATAGTCTTCCAAAGAATACCTCATATCTGCCATTTAGACTTTGCTGGATCTGTAACGATTACGGGCTAACTGAACAGATTGTAAAGGTTCAGCTGATCAGACGGACATGATATGGATATGTAAAAGGTAGGCTGTGTGTGACAAATCTGTCTGAATTGTTTTGAAGAGGTGGAAGTAGTAACCAGAGTGTTGTCCATGGAGCTAATTTATACAAAAGGCCAGATGGAACTTAATAAGATTCTTAATCAGACACTATTAGCTAAAATTGAAGCTCAAGGAATTGAAATTATATTGGGGGAGGTGATGGCCTAGTAGTATTATCGCTGGACTGTTAATCCAGAGACCCAGTCAACGTTCTGGGGATCCGGGTTCGAATCCCACCACAGCAGATTGTGGAATTTGAATTCAATAAATATCTGGAATTAAGAATCTAGTGATGAATCCATTGTCGATTGTCAGGAAAAAACAACCCATGTGGCTCACGAATGTCCTTTAGGGAAGGAAACTGCCATCCTTACCTGGTCTGGCCTACATGTGACTCCAGACCCACAGCTATGTGGTTGACTCTTAACTGCCCTCTGGGCAATTAGGGATGGGCAATAAATGCTGGCCTAGCACACCCTCATCCTGTGAACGATAAAGAAAAAAAATCGCAGTATGGTTGAAATAACGCCCCCCCCCACCCCACCCCTCAAAGGCCAGTATCCCATCAATTAGGAAGGGCAATAAATGCTGCCTAGTCAGCAATGCCCTCATCCTGTTAATGAATAAAGAAACAAAAAAGACCTCATTTGGAAATTGGCAAGGCCTAAGGTTATGGGAATGGGGTGAGTAAAAGGTATTGAATCATATTGAATTGGAGGGGAGGCTTGATGGGCTGAATGGCCTCTGGACAGGCTTAACAGGGCAGGTGTAATGGGCAAGTGTTCTAATTGTCAGCAGGTAGCTGGTGTTCATGCAAGGATCTGAGTTCAGGTCATGCCCACTCACTGTTTCTTTTCATTATACCTTCATTGATGCCATGGACAAGGACAGAGTTTGTTGAACATCCTCAATTGCCCTTGAGCCATGTGGCTTGTTTATCTATTTCTGAAGGAAGTTAAAATTCAACACATTGCTGTGACTCTGGTGTCAATGTCAGCCAGATCACGTAAAGATGGCAGATTTCCTTCCCTAAATGGCGTTAGTGAACCAGATGGTAGTTTACAACAACTGATGATATGCTTCATGGTCACAACTATCACCTGAGTATAGCTTTGACCCTGTTGCGTATGGTGAACAGAGAGTGACTTTGTCAAGGAGTCTGTCAAACATTTGAATAGCACCAATGTGTGCCATCTGCCTGCAGTCAACTGTTTGTGTCATACAATCATGGGCAGGCAACTGTCGTCCATCTGGGCAAGGTAACCTACCCAGTGCAGCTGGCTTTACAGGAGGATGGCTTTGATGCCAGTGACAGTGTCAGTTTCTAGGATGTCAATGTTTGTGACTGGGTCCTTCTGGTGAATCTGAAGGATGATGTTGAGTCAATGCTGATAGAAAACCTCTCGTAGGTGAACAGAATCCAGAACTCAGCACCTTGCGGATTTGATTTTGACTTATTTGATTTGATTTATTATTATCACATGTACCAAGATACATTGAAGAATATTGTTTTGCGAGCTAACCAGACAAATCATACCTTATATAAGTACATCAGAGTAATTGAACAGAATGCAGAATACAGTGTTACAGTTATGGAGAAGATGCAGAGAAAGATCAACTCTAATATAAAATTGGTCCATTCATAAGTCTGATATTGGTGGAGAAGAAGCTGTTCTTAAATCTGTTAGTGCATAGTTTTCAAACTTTTGTGTCTTCTGCTCAACGGAAGAGGGTGGAAGAGAGTATAACTGGGGTGGGAGGGGCCTTTGATTATGTTGGCTGCTTTCCTGAGGCAGTGGGAGTGTACACAGAATCAATGGAAGGAAGGCTGGTTTTCCTGATGGATTTGGTGTGTTCACAACTCTCTAATTTCTTGTGACCATGGTTTAGCATTGTTTCTTAAACAGTTTGGATGGAAGTATAAAATTATAGAAGACTATTGATAGGTCAGGTGACTGTGGAAATGGATTTCAGTGGAGGTAAAGCTCATCCATTTTGAGCCGTTAGAGTATAGAGTGGAGCACTATCTAACTGGTGAAAAGCTAGAAATAGTGCTGAGGCAAAGACACTTGAGCATTCAGGTACCCAGATCTTTGCAGCTGATGGTGTCCCCATGTATCTTCTGCCCTTGTCCTTCTGGATGGAAGTGATCATGGGTTTGGAAGATGTTGTCCAAACAGCCTTAGTGAATTCCTGAAATGCATCTTGTAAATGGTACACACTGCTGCAATTGAGCATTGGTGGTGCACAGAGTGGATGTTTGTGGATACATCCAAACTTGGATATTGTCTAAGTCTTTGTTGCATATGGACTCGGAGCACTGATTTCTTCAGTATCTGAGGACTTGTGAATGGTGCTGAACATTATGTAATCATCAGCAAACATCCCCATTTCTGATCTTATGATGGAGAGAAAGTCATTGATGAAGCAGCTGAAGATGGTTGGACCTAGGATACTACCATGAGCAACTTATGCAGAGATGTCCTGGAGCTGAGATGACTGATCTCCAATGACAATAACCATCTTCCCACATGGCAGGTATGACTCCAACAAGTAGTGAGTTTGGCCCTTGATACCCATTGATTCCAGTTTTACTTGGGTTACTTGATGAGACTTGGTTAAATGTTGCCTTGAGCACAATGACAGTCACTTTCATCTCACCTCTAGATTTCAGCTCTTTTGTCCATGATTGAACTAAGGCTGCCATGCGGTCAGGAGCAGCAGTGTAGCACTGGTGGTTTTTGATTGGAACACTATAGGCTGCTGTCAAAGTGGACATCATAGATGTCCAATGTGGCCAATGACCTTCATCTGGTCCAGCATCACATGATACATCTGTGCAGAAAATCAAAACACCAATGGGTAACCAGACCCTGCCACACCGCAGTGTTTGATAAGCTCTTTTCCAGGTAAAAAAATCTAGGTATTGTTTGACAAGCCTCACTGTTGCTCAGGCCAAGTACCTTTTTGGGCAGGAGGACAAGGGGGAGGCACATGGATAGCTCAAGAGAACAGGAGAGCAGTGGGGAACCAGTGGGAGGAGAAGGGACTGCATCAGGGTCTGGGCAGTACAGCTGCTGGAAGTCCAGATCACTGTGCTCCCTAACTGTAGCATCATTGGATACTTTCAGACTGCATAAAGTGGCATTAGTGATGTATTACAGTCTGTGTGAGAATTCGTTGTGATATCACTGAAGTTTTCATTAGCCAGTGTTCCGATGTCCAAAATAAGATGCAGCATGAGGTGTGTGCAATCCTTCAATAAATAGAACTAAAACCTCAGCAAAGAATGCAATCCTCTTCCATATCAATGCAGCACCTATTCTTACATTCTTAACAACAAATAGTA